GGGCGCGAGCGGCCAATCGCAGCCACACCGCCCCCAACTAGGGCCCCGCCCCACCCCAGACGGTGGCTGGGCTCTGGTTTCACCCGGTGGCTCTGAATGGGGCCGGGGTTACTTGCGGGCGTCCGCCTTTAACCCGCTAGGCGCCAGCAACCTCCGAGGTTACTAGTGGTCACTGCCCGTCCCCCTGCTCCAGCTTCCTACTACCACCTGGGAGAAGCGCGCAGGGCCGGGGTCAGGCAGGGAGAACCTGCCGGGCTGTTCCAACACCCCGGAGCTCTGTGTTCCAAGTCGTGCGTTCACTGGCATCCGAGCGAGCCTGGAAAGCGCAAGCCTCAGTTTACTTCCCCAAGAAGTAGGAAGGACAGTCATAACTGCCAGAAGAGAGAATATAGGTATCGCGCTTAGGAGGAAACAGGCGCTGGGCCACGCGCTGGCCGCAGTGGGTGCACAGACTTCCTACCTCTGGATCAGCTCCTGAATGGGGCTGTCCCCATCGCAGAGAGGGGGCTGATGGGCTGAGACCCAGAAGGTCATTTTGGTGAACTGTAGCCTAGAGTGAGCAAAGGAACCCCTACCCCCAGTCACACTTCTGGGTCTCCTGACTGCCAGCTCTGCTGTCCCTCTGTGGGATCACTGAAGCTAATCCTACTGCAAGTGTCACAGCCCCCCAGCAGTGACCGTATGATGCTTAACTCACTATTCACTGTGGGGCCCTGGGAAGCTGGGAAGGTGACTTATCCCTCGGGACAGGTAGGAAAGGCAGGGGTGACAGACTCCAGGGACTTTGAGGGGCATGCTGAAGCCAAGCAGACCAGCCTGGAGCCACAGGCCCGCCTCCACTCTGTGGCTCAGCAGCTAGTGTTGGGGCCGCGGCCCCTTGTGGGGGGGTCTGTCTTTTTCGGTACCTAAGTTGGAAAACAGCCCTTACACAACTGCACCCTCCCCCTCCTCCCCCTTTCCGGGTCCTGCTTCTGTGGCTGGCGAGGGTTTCCAAGGATAGCAGAAGTCTTTTCCCTCTCTGCTCAGCCTGGGGGTGCTTCCAGACTCATCATCCCCGCAACAGTAAAGCCTTGCTCTCAGACAGGGTTCTGCCTCCGTGAACAATGTAGGACACGAGAGTCCCGACCGGAAAGGACACAGACCGCTGGGTTCTGGACATAATTTTCCCAAAAGCCTACCGTTCCGGCTGAGTCCTTTCATTATTCCGTTCCCCAGTTTCTGAGCCCAGAAGGACCAACAAGCAGATGCTGGCCTGAGACTTATGGTATCCAATCCCACCCCTTCTGCCCACCTTTTGTCGGTTTCATTTCTCCCACCTCCCTGTTCTGCCTCCACCTCCTCTGGAAAGAGGTGGTGGAGGACGAAGACAGTTGTTCACTAACCTCCCGGGATGGCAGTACTCTTGGGGGCTTCCTAGAGGAGGTACATGACCCAGGTGTAGTAGCCTCCAGACAGTGGCACAGCTAAACTAAGCTGTAGGATCGGGGGAGGAGGGCCTGAGCACTCCCAGGTGTCCAGTGGCTATGGCTGCCTCTGTCCCCTGAAACTTGTAGCCTGAAAACTTGTCCCCTGAAACTGAGCCCAACCTCACTCTCCCCTGGAGCCAGAGCTCCTGGCCTATTTCTGTAGAAGCTGGGGCCAGAGTAAGGACAGAGTAGAAATTCAAGAACCAGGGCCACAGCCTTGCCTTAGAGATTGCAGCCAAGCCCACAGACCTGGGGCCACATGCTAGGTGTGGTCTGCCTTCTGTCCCTCCTTGCTGTGTAACCTGAGGCAGGTCACTTTTCCTCTCTCAGCCTCCACTTAGCCTCTACCCCGTAAATCTACAAGAGTGAGGATTTGGGGAAAGAAAGTGTGTAAATCACCTATGACCCAATAGGATTTCAACAAAGGCTTC